CCCCCAGCCACACCGGAGAGCGGGTACCACTGCATACGTATGGGGCGGCAGCGGGAAGGCAGGAAGGTTGGGGCAGGCGTAGGCATCCCAGGAGGGGCCGGCGGGAGGGGGCTCTAGCCATGAAATGGGGAACATGGTGGGGGCAACACTCCCTTGGCATGGCCCAGCCCTGTGGTCTCCTCTGCCTTCTGGTATGTAGCAGGTGCTGGTGGTGGTGGTAGAGTGAGCCCTCCAGAAGTTCTTCCTTCAGGTAAGATCATGTCCCCATCCTTGATCCAGGGCTGAGGCCGACATTCCGGTGTGCTGGGATGGCGGAGGAGGACCATCCAGTCCTGGGCTGGTGGCACTGCATTATAGGGACAGATGGACCGAGGATGACATAGTCCCTGCGGGCCTATGTAATAACTTCCAACTGCAGCGTGTATCAGATATCAATATGTAGGTATGGGACAGCAGAGAGAGGAAGACTGGGGCAAGCCCAGGGGTCTTGGGAGGAGGCCAGTGGGCAGGAAGATGGAATGGCCACAAAATGGGGAAGGAAGTGGGAGGAACACTTCTCTCGGCATGGCCTGGTCACTGAGTCTCCTCTCTCTTCTGTTGTGTAGCAGGGCATGATGATGACGATGATTTGGTCATCGCTCAAGGTGTTTTTCCTTCAGGTAAGATCATAGAATCATGGAATCATTATGGTTGGAAAAGACCTTCAAGATCATCCAGTCCAACCATAGGCCCTTCTACACTATCCTGCTAAACCATGTCCCCAAGTGCCTCATCCACACGTTTATGGCACACTGCCAGCGATGGTGACTCCACCAATGCCCTGGACAGCCAGTCCCAATGCTTCACTCCTTCCGTGTGGAAATTTGTGCTAACGCCTAACCTGAACCTCCCTTGGTGCAATGTGAGGCCGTTTCCTCTTGTCGTAGCCGTAGTTATTCCGGAGGAGAGACCGACCCCGCCTCACTGCAGCCTCCTTCCAGGTAGCTGCGGAGCGATAAGGGCTCCGCGGAGCCTCCTCTTCTGCCCCCTGAACACCTG